TGCTTTGGTTTGGGACCTCTGCAGAAGGGTTGAGGTGGTTAGTCATAAACTGTATGTGGATAATTTATTTTCATCCTGAGATTTAGTTGACAATCTGACAAGGAAGAAAGTAAGTAGCTGTTGGACAGTCACAGCAAATTGCAAGAGCTTGCCATAACTTATGTAGCATGAGATGCGGACTAAAAAGGGAGACATTCGGTTTAGGGTGCAAGGTAACACGATGGCATTAGTTTGGAAAGACAAACAAGACATACATATGCTGATGAACATGCACAATCCTCCAACAGAAGTTAATTTTTGTGATGTATATGGAAATGCCATAAAACCAGCAATAGAGGACTACAAAAAACAAGAGTTATGCGAACAAGAGAGACAAGGTCATCGCCTTCAATGCCTTTTAGGTCTACCACTTGCTCTTGCTACTAGTGTGTCTTGCCTAGAGGAGGCCAACTGACCAACCTCCTCATCCAAAAGAATGAACTGTTGCATGTTCTGCCTGTAGAAAAAGAAGCACAGCTATGAAGTACAAAAAGTGACAGTTTGTCCAAATACCACAGAGTGGTACGCAAGTACCTTCAATGATCATGACATGTCTGGTAATTCTTTATTATTAAAACAATCTTTACAAATATCTGTTTAAAATTTTACACACTTCTATAACACAAATTTGAGATTAGAAATGAAACACATGGTGTACATTACTACATCATAATAAAACATCTTCTCTAAAAACACTTCATGAAATAATAAAAGTTTCCCAAAAATAAAACCATTGTCACTATACAATGTGAAGTAAAGTAAAAAACAAAAGAAAAAAGTAGGCATTTTAATACCCAGAACAAAACTTCAAACATTGCAGCCCCTTGCTGTGCAAATAGGTGCCTCTACCTCTGTTCCAATCAAGAATACCAACCTAAAGTAACACAACACTGTCTCTTTACATTGCTTCACATTTTACACTTACATATTCTGCTTACCCTTGTTATTACTTTTATTAATTTAGTTTTCTTTTCTTGTACACACCTTTCATCACATATAACTTTGTCATAGTTATAATGGTAATTTAATGTCATTTAATGCACACTAATAAAATGTTATCCCATAAGGAACAAAATCCCTTAACAGCAAATGATCACAACCAGTACTTCCTTATTTTATAGATATCATTTCATAACAAGGCTCAGCATTCTTTTTACATAAACATTTATTCAGCATGCCCCATTACAAGACTGCAATATTACATGCATTAATATAAAAAACTTTAACAGATTGTACAACTGTAATGTCACGATACATTGTCACTGTTTGCACTTATGTTCCTGTGCTAAACTGTATTAAAATCAATGGACTTAATGAATGTATTAAAATGTCCTAAATATTGCTGAACAAGTGCTTCATGCAACACTGGCCATGTGCCACCATTCTTGACTATTGCATCTATTAAGTTACGCCTTGGTTATTGTAGTTTTTCGCAGTCGTAGATGAGGTGATCCACTGTTTGTGCTGCTTTCAGACATGAGCATGTTGGGTCATTCTAAAGATGTGCCACACTACGTACATCATTGTTGCACTAATGCAGGGGGCACTGTGCCTCAGGTAATTCTTCCATTAATACAATCTAAGGCCATGGTCACACAGCACTGAACCTCTAATTACACAGGGTCCCTGTCTACATAGGAAAAATGCAAAACAAACAGGCATGGGCAGGCCTACATAGTGTTCTTCGCTCACACTACAGTGAGAATAACACCTAAACAAACATATTACAGACACACTCAATTCAGTAATAACTGTTTTCTTATAGGATTCCTTCACATAGGATTGTAAAATTGATTTTAAACATTTTCTACGTAAATTCAGTTACACCTGTCAAAATTATTTTGAGCAACATATATTTTGATTTTCTCCTAACTAGCCATCTGGCCAGTGAAAAAGATAACATTTAAAATATGTATTTATAACTTCATTTATTTCCAGTGTGTTCACTTATAAACTAGAATGCAACTGTTACTGGCCCATCAATTTAAGTACCTCTTATAATTGATTTTATTGTTTTTATAGTGCAGTACTTAACTAATATTGGGAAAATCTTGTAGAGCTTGGTGGTTAGTCAGGCAATTCCTGCCAGGAGCCTGAAGTGACAACTGCATTCTAGTTTATCAGTGAATATACTGTAGCATGTTCATCAAAATTCATTATATTTTCATTTCTGAGGTACTGATAATTACATATTTCTATATATGTATTTCAAATGTTAAAAAGTGGTACCTTGTTTTAGTTAAGAGAAGTCTTTTAAAATTGAATTTTCTTAATCTCATTCATGCTAGCTACAAATACTTTAAGTTTGTTTTAATCATATTGTGACGTGTTGTGATTGACATTGTTGTATTTGTTTATAGCCATTGTTGCGTTAGACATTATTGTGTCTGTTTATAGACATTGTTGTATTTATATAATATTTACAATATTATATGGGTAAAAGAAGTGTTCTGGAAGACAGGTTCTTTAATGTGCATATGCCACAGGATCAACAGACATATGACATCTTCTTTACTAAATCTGATGTGCCTATTGTGTATATACACTAGTATTTTGTGGTGGGGCAAAATGAACAGAGATATAGCTTTGATTTTTCCATCGCATAACAACAGCATGAAGAGCATTCAGATTAAATAAGACTGGAACTGTCAGATAACATACTCCAACCACCAATAACAGTCTCTATTTATTGTTGTCACACTTAAATAATTGAATTTCTGCAAAATACTCTTTGTATCAATTTTCAGTATTAGTGTTCAATATCAACATGACATATAATTTGGAAGTTTTTTGACTTTCCTGATGGCATATTCCAAAGGAGAATGTTTGTTCCCTACTATACACATATACACACATAGGTATACTAACCATATAATTAAAAACAGACTGATAAAAGTTAGTATCATTTTCACTGACAGTGGAACACTAAAAATACACATACAAATAAATGACCAGCTTTTCTGCCAGAATAAAATTGCATTAAATGCTTGAGTTTGTACCATAATAAAAAGATAACTGATTTAAGATATTCATAGCAAATGTTAGTTTTCTTGAGCAGCAAGCTATAATATTATTCCCTATGTGGGAAATTAGAAACTGTATAATACACAGTTTTGCCTTTTATCTACATAAGTGTAAGTTTGTCTCTGGCATCACAACTGAATGGCAGGAAAAGTATGTTTATTTAATTTACAAAAAAACTGTAAATTTACTAATAATTCTAATCACACGTACATACAACATTCCCCAATGACTATGTCCACCAAAACCAGGAAGTCTTCAGCTGTCACTTGTAACTGCTATGTCAATGTATAGAATCTCACCTAGTTAATTTTTCTATCCTTTCCAGTATTATCCTTGCTACATTAACTCTCCTCTGGTTTTCATCTGTATCTAATAACAAAATAAAACCAGAAATCATTAATTATACTATTCATTATCATTATTATTGACCAAGATAAGTTATAGTTTTGGGATCTATACTAGTGATATCTTCCATATTACACAGGAACTGAGGACAAACTCTAAGGAGATTTCTGGACAACTGAGGCTGGAAACATGCCAACAAACAGTCCAACTCTTTGACTGACAGGAATCAGGAATCTCTTGAAGTACAAAAAAATTATACAGGACAAATTTGTTTTCATAAAAAAGAACATGCTTATCATGTGTGTGGCATGAACTAGTTTTTGCAAGAAATGGTAAAATATATGTGTTTCAGTGAAGAAATTTATAAATTCAGGATTATCAGTTACTTGTAGGACTTGAGGTTGTCACTATATAGTCATACAAAATCTTAGTACACAGCCAACCTACTACATAGCACAACTACCCAGAAGACCACCATCTATATAAGTTAATTATTAATAACATAATGGAAGGTAAGGAGTTGGGATCCTCACATACTCAATCTTTTTGGTTCTGGTTGGAACATAATATATTTGGTACAGAAATTCAGCACCTTAACCTTCCACTCTTTACATTTTCTAGTAGAATTGTAACTGTATTGTGTTTACCTGCATAGAATATAATTTCACAAAGATCTCTACAGTCATCACTGTCTCTAAGAATGTCTTGTAGAGTCTTATAAAATGCAGATACTATTTCATGTTGATGATTTTTAAAAACACCTGGAAATAAGAATTATTCTTTTATACTGTCCTAGTATGACTGCTGAAATTCATAATCTTTCATGCGGAAAATTCAAGAAAGCAGTACTGAGAGTATTTAAATGATCTGTAGCCTTTGTACTCACGTGACATCTTTGGATTCATTTTTATAACATCATAAAATGTTTTTAAGGGTGTGGCACCTTCAGCCACTACATAAACTGGATATAGCGTTGATCTGTCTCTATTCCAGATTTTATACACAGAATTCTTATATACTCTCTGTTTTACTCCAGCACGATCAAGTTCTTGGGTTTCCAAACTCTGTTAAGAAACAGAAAAATCAAAAGATACTTGTGATAACAAAATTATATTAAACTGAATCACCCTTGTATTTGTTGAATTAACCATGGTTCTGTTTGTTGTATGTTTTGTAGAACTTTCACTCTCTATAAGACCATGCATTACAGTAAGCTGATTTAGTGCCATACTTAAATAGTATAAAATACACATTGAGAAACTAAGAGGTTTTAATTAACCTTTATCATGTGCGTCACTGTTTACAAACAACCCAGCTGGCCATGCATCGCACTAGCATACTGCTAAACCATTAACCCTAGGAGTTAAAGTCTGGCCTTCAGCCCCAAACTGCAGGGTTTTAATCCTGTACCACTATATGATAAAGGTAAAATTAAGCACTAGTATTGAGTAAATAAAAATTGAAGAGAATAAGGTTCTTCACTTGTGAAATGCTGAATCAGCTCAAGAACAAATGAAAACAAGTGAAAAGGATTCCATAATACAGAGCATTAGTTTAAATTTCCAGTAAACCCATCCAAAAACTCATCTGTGGTAAATGAGGACAACTCTGGATATGATTTGATGTTTTCATGGCAGTGAGTCTGAAGATTGCTGTCTTTTGTATCTACCCCAAGCCAATTTAACTATTTATCAGAAAGGAGTTCACTATGCGGGTATAAAGATATTTAATAAATTACCCACAGAGGTTAAGAATACCTCAAATAATTTTAAAAAGTTCAAGGTTGCATTAAGGCATTTCTTAATTACTCACTCGTTTTACACTGTGGATGAGTACTTAATTGGATAACTATTGTAATAAAAATACTAATTATATTGTCTTGAATTTAGTACGCTGCTTGTCTAGATGTAATTTTTTAATGTATGTATTTTATGTTTTTATACTTGAGTTTGTGACGTGTTCTATATCCACTATTGGATTCTTGGAACTTGTAAATAAATAAAATAAATATATAAAATTGCGCCATGTAGTCTGGTACAAGTTTACCAATGTTTCAGAGGTCCTTGCTGCCTCCATAATCAGGGTGATGATATGGATATACAATTTTAGAATTTGAGATAGCAATATAAGTCACATGGCAATGTGGCCAGAACATAAAGCTGGCTGTGGAATGTCTGTGATAACTTCAAATTTACCTACACAGTGCAAATCTAAGAATAAGAACTTTGGTAGCATGACTGGACTTTTGTGGTGGAAAGAATTGAAACAAAGTTATTCTCTTACTGGTATTAGGTGGTAAATATGAAGAACATATTTTCTAACACAGAGCATATTTCCTGTTCTTGGTCGCTGTTTGTTGGATAAGACAGACTTTGTGGTCTCCAAAAAGAAGAAAAGGAAAAGTACCATATGTAGACATCCAGCAGTAACTTATATTCCAAAATATAATAACTGGTAAGAAAGCTGTTCTAGAAGGCTGAAAAATTTAGAATAGCATGACAAACTCTTGGCAGCTACTTTGGTATCTGTACATACAGGCCTATATGGAAGAATAAGGCAAGTATCACAAAAACAATGACAAAGTGGAATTTACTACTAACCTTCTCTCTGCTGTAGATAAAGACTGAAGGGTCTCATCAGCAAAACTTGATGACTTGTGATCTCTCACAAGGTATATACCACAAGATCACTGTGGCTTTTACAATCAACTACCATCAGTTATTATACACACAAGAAAAAACTATACCTTGAAAAAATATCAAAAGCTAAACATCCTTGACTTCTTGTTTCAACATACACAATGATCATATGAGCTCTGCTTCAATAAACAACCCTGCTTTCTTTTAATACATATTCTTATTTCATTCTTGGATTATTTAACGATCTTTAATTTTTAAGATTATACACTGTCCACAAGCAATATTAACTGTGTAACTCAGGCACACTTTGAATAAAATATGCAACTACATTTCTTTTTTGTTCAGTTCTAGGGTTTGCCCCAAATAGCAGCCATAGTGGTTCTAGGTAAAGCTGATCTGATATATGTGGCATTAGTGAAAAGTATCACCACAGCAATATAAATTTCTGACAAACAACATAATTTAAGTGATGATCATTAAACTTGTTTTCTCCTAAACATATTGATGCTGCTAAAAGTGTTCTTGTACCAAGCCAGAGAATGTATATTTTAGCACTTACTCATTTTTCACTTCCATGCACAAAATTATCTTACACATCCAAGTCGAAAACCAATAAAACAAAGTTCTCTGAAGTAAATAAATGACTATGAGGAAAAGCAATGTACATAATTTGTGTTTACCATTGCAGCTTCCATCCAGTAATTGGTGCTATTGTGCCAATCTGTAGAAACCTCCATAAGGTCTGTGGGTGTATAAAGATTCCGAGGAATTAAAATAAATAACTTTCTTACAGGGAATGCAGTTTTTAGAAGGCGATGATGGTTCATGAAAGTTTCAATTCTTTTTCTAATACCTAGAATTTAAGACAAAGATGTTAAATTCAGCAGTGTTATAACAACAACCACCATTTCAGTTTAACAGTATGATACTGACAAAATTATATGTTAAAATAACATTTATTGAGTCTGGATGGTTGGACACATCAGACAGGCAATAAAATGAATAATTATATTATACCAGAGATTAATATATGCAGCACCAGAACATTTAACTTTTGTTTTCCATTTCTTTCAGTCCAATGCCAGTAAGGTAACCATTCAAGCTTTGTGGTCACTGAACACTGGCAAAAAGAAATCTACTGTTTATGATAATAAAAGTTCAAATATATTTCTAGATTATAATGTTATTAACATTTTAAGTTTCACTAAAATATTTCTCACTGTGTAATAGTACATACTTGGTCAACCACCAGCAACGGCATAAAGAAACATACCTTTAGCACCTGGAGTTCCTACTTCTGGGTCTGGAAGAACCAAGCGCAAATATCCATAGAAATAATTATATGCCATTCCACTTCCATAATCCAAATTTTTCATACTTTCAATTTGAAGAGAAGTATGTAATACACTTTCCTCCTGCAATGAATCATGATTTTCACATTTCTGTCCAAGTATAATGGTCACATGTGGGTGTCCATCTGTTCTCTTTACTAACATTAGAACCAATTAAGAATATTCAGGAAAATGAATATGGGCAATATGCTAATGAGATGTCTCAATTTTCATATCTTTTATTTATTACCATCAATAATACCAACATGGTGGTCATGGAAACTTATGAGGTAGAAATTACTCTAGCACTGCTTAATGTAAGGTCCTGACATTTAGCATGCTAATATATCTTCAAATATATGCAACTTTTAGTAACACAAATGTTCATAGAATATAAAGTAACATGACGGCTGCACAAAATCTTTATTAAACTCTGACAGGAATAATTAATGAAAACTGCAGCAAGGAAAGTGAAATTTGGTAAGGGGAAAAAATGTACCTAAAAATTTCATATGAAACATTTTATGTACCAAAACATTACAAACATGACAATGAAATGACATTTTAATGCTATGTCTGAGGAACAAATTAAATGTACATCTAAAGCACAGACATTACATACATAAGTAACAGTGGTGAATCCAGGTCTAGAAGTCACAGCATGTAGAAATGTAATATAGTAAAACATTTACGTTATATTTATCCCATTTTAGCAGTCGGGTACACTACTAGCTAAACTTGAGCATTCACCGTTGAAAAGTAAATTATTAAGTTCTATAATTATTAATTTACAGTCCCTGCAAGCTTTCCTTTAAATTCTTTCTTTTATATATATATATATATATATATGATGACTTCACTCTAGAAATCTTTGTTGATCAATTTTATTATGTTCCATTTCAGATAAGCATTTTATTTCTTGGCAAAGACAGTTGTCACTCCCCACAAATTCATGGTAATGTTGGGAACAGATGGAAAAGTAGGAAGACAAAGACATTTATTAAACTACAAAATATCATCAGGTCACTCATCAGAGTAAAGTGACCTGCCTTGAAATGCATTCTTCTGGATGCTGTTACAGAGAAAATAAGGAGCATGATAAATGTTAGACAAAAATCCAGTATTCAGCACCATATGACCATTCAGTATGAGAATACTTTGGAAAGACTCTCTTTTTGCTATTGGCAGCATAAAAGTAAACTTTAGAACATAATGAAGGCATTATGATCAAGACTTACCATCTGAATCAGCTTAGAAAAGCAGAAACCTGCTAGATAGGGAATAATATTGGAAACAGGCCCTTTAGTCCACAGATACACATATGGGTTTTCCAATATGACCCAAATAAGCTGCAAGAAATACAAATATTTTCAAAATTTAAACATACCTAAAACCATCAACATTTTAAAATTATTAATTTAATAAATGACATTCTAATGTGTGTTAAGGAGACAGGAAGAACACTCAAAAGATGGTTATACAGATCAGTGTTTTCAATGTTTATGGCCTATGGACTGGTAAAACAAAAGTGAATTTTCCAATGACTGGTATCCCATCTTACAACCTATAGTACAGTAAAAATCTACAAATGTAATTACTAAATACATTTGTTTACTAGTATAATTTTAAAACTGATACCTTTATGTGATACTTACTCTGAAGAGATATCATAACCAACAACTAACTAACTAACTAACTAGATGGCTTACCGAACTTGAAGGTTCATCACCGAATTAACCAAAGCCCTCCACCGGACCCTGTCCTGGGCCAACAAAATCCAGTTTCCTTCAACTCCTATCTCCCATAGATCCCACCTGAGATTATCCTCCCATCTACGTCTAGGTCTCCCCAGCGGTCTCTTCCCTTCAGGTTTCCCAACCAGTACCCGGTGCACCCCTCCTGTCGCATCCATGCGCGCTACATGTCCCGCCCATTTCACTCTTCTCGACTTAATCACCCTCACAATACTGGGGGAGCAGTACAGATTTTTAAGCTCGTCATTGTGCAGTTTTCTCCACGCCCCATCGTCTTCCCTCTTAGGCCCAAACATAACCAACAACAATGTAACATTTACAAGAGATGGAGCAATTGATTGCCACAATTTCATGTCCTTTTCCTCACCATTCAGCCAATGACACCACTGCAAATGGCAACAGGGATAGGAAGGAAAGGTATCAAACACAAATTCAATATTCATATGTGGCAGATAAAAAGGGAAGGACTGGACAGAGATTCGTTCTAGTGTGCTCACTCAGTGAAAAGATGCCAGTCTGTTTGGTGTGCTGAATGTTGGTATTTTTAGAACTTGGCACACCAGTAATTTACGATTTGAAGAGCGAGCCAGAATTAAGTTTTGTGTATAACTAGGTATGCCATTCTCCCAAACTTACAACATAACCATGGAAACACATGGGGACAAGACCATGTGTTTGGCTGCAATGTACAAATGGTTTAGGTGTTTCAAGAAGTGCCAACAGTTATGGAGTATGACCCACAGAAAGGACAGCAATAGCGTGTATTGTAGGATAACATCCTATGCTTGAGAGGTCAAGCAAGATGACTGTAGACAAATGACTCACAAAATCACCAATATTCTCAATGTGTCACATGACAAAGTACCAGCTTACCAGTCTCTTATCATACAGGAGTACCTAACTAGTAACATCACTGTTTTTCCAGTCTTCCAGCTCTCCACACCAACTCCTGCTGATTACTGCCCTCTTGAAAGTATACACCTTCTAGTCAGCAAGAAAGCCTAAGACTTATGGTGGCTATATGAAAATATCTGCAGAATTATGAACACTAGCAGAAAGCTATTAGAAAGCAGTGTCCGGAAAAGCCAGCCAGGTGAATAATCAAGAATTTTGTTATTGTGCCACATATTTCAATTCACGTACCACTGCAATTATTGCAGATATGCTGCAAACACATGAGGAAATCATATTAAATTCATATGCTTTCTGTGCTGCAGATTTTTTGTCTGGGTATCGTCCAGAAATATGGCACAGTTCTTCGGCCAAAAAACAAGTTCTCCAAGCAACATGTAGCAATCCAACAGTAAATATTCCAATTGCAGAACCTGTAACTAAACATAGATATTACACTAAATGCAACAAAGATGACCTAGAGAACATGTTATAAAAAAACTTTCATTTCAATACTTTTTATAGCTTTCCTTCTACCAAGCACCATGCTACACAAGAATACATATATCAATTCTCTAATGTTGGCAGTGAAAAATGGCTTTATATGTTTAATATTTCAGCTGTAATGCACTCAACAGGATGCAAATCTGGCAAAACTAGACAGGAAGTTGACTAGGCACCTGATAAGCCAGTATCTTCTGATGACCAAATTTAAAACACAGAAATATATTGTGTATCTATGAATAATTATTACTGACTCAAGACTGAGTTATATTTAATTACTACTGTTAACTGTTTTAAAAGTTTCCTTACCTACATACATTACAGTTTCCATCATGCCTTCTGTACAGAACACCATTCCTTGTCCTACTGAAACAAACACAAGAAAATAATTAAAACACTTGATAGTTTCTCCTTTTGACAACACAAAAGCAATTTAACACTCAGTTTAGTTTAAACAGGAAATGTGGGATGGCAAAGAATGCAACGGATATTCTCCCTTCACAAAGTCACTAGTGCCATGTTTCAGAAAAGCAAGTTCCAATACCAGCCACTGCTTTTGCCATGCAAGGCCAAAACATTTCTATTTTAAAGCAGCTCCTTATTAAACAATGGATGCCAATTATAAGAATATTAACAACATTTTCTTTCTTTTGGAAGTTCATCTACAACCATACCCAGTAAGTGACTGTTGGCTGGCCTTGTTTATATCTGATAACATTTGAGTGACATGGTGGCTGATTCAAGTGGAAGTATGCACCTTTTACTTAGGCAGAACCTTTTTTGTTCCTTTTTATATGAAAGAGAGGTTATTCCATGATCTGATCAGGGAGAAGCTATCTTCATTCTTCATACTGTTTAAGTGGAGTTTTATCTTACCACTTCCCTGATAATCTGGTCCATCACAAAGACAGAGATAGAGCTCCATCCAAGATAACCATACAGCACCCAAGCCCTGAATTCCATAATAATACAAGATATGTTATACTAATTTTGTGTTATACAATGGCAAATTTCTGAGGTACAAGAGACATACATGGCATTTTAGGTCCTAGTTGTATTTCTACCTTCAGGTGATTGGACAGATTTTGTTACAATTTTACATATTTTTAAGATTAATGATGAAACCTAGTACTAAACACCGTACTTTCTGAATACCAGGCTAGTATGCTGACCACTAGACCACTGGGGTGGCTGTAGTTCATCAGAATCATAGTAACTTAAGTTGGCCAAGTCTCTTTGTAAGTTATCCTTGTATTTTTTTGTTTCAGTTTATTATAATTCTTTAATAATTGCATTATGTTAACAAGACAAGAACAGGTTTATATTTCACAAAAAAGTAATCTATGTCCATTGCTGTCTTGTTGCTTAATAACTGTTTAATGCATCAAACTGTCAAGATATGAGGGGCAGTCAAAAAGTTCCTGGAATTGTGGTATAGCACTGTAATGGTAGGACATATGGCAACGCTTACCTAATCACCTTCAAAGTAGGACCCTTGCGCGCACACACACTTGCTCCATCGATTCTGTCATTGTTGGAAGCACCGGCAAAAGGCTTAGTTTGGAATCTTCCGGAGTTCGGCCGTCGCATTCGATTTGATGTCCTCCATGGTTGCGAAACCCACCCCCTTGAGGCCCATTTTCAGAGTAGGGAACAGCCAGAAGTCACTCGGAGCGAGATCTGGAGAGTATGGTGGTTGGGTGATGACGGGAATGCTTTTCTCGGCGAGGAATTGCTGCACAACCAGCGAGGTGTTGAATGCGACGGCCGAACTCCGGAAGATTCCAAACGAAGCCTTCCGCAGGTGCTTCCAACAATGGCAGGGGAAACGAGGTGTGATAATGCTTATACTAGCCACAAGGCGACACTTCACAAGTTTCGTTCCTGCCTTTGATTGCAAAATCGCAAAACGTGTCACAGGTGACGTCACAAATGCATAACAATTTGTACTTGTTTTAAAGGAATGACATACTTAAATGCAAACCACTGTATTTTACTGTGTTCGTATTAATACCGACCTGTTCTGCGTCCGTTCGTTCTCTAGTTATTAAATTAAAACTGTCGGATATAATTTGGTTTTGATAAGATTTGAAATAGTTGGCTTAGGTTTGGTTTCGTTAGTGATGCGCAGAGCACCGTGCGCAGAGGACCGTTATCCCACCTCAGGATTATGAACATACGAGGTGCGATCGGAAAGTTTCAAGACTGCGCGTATAAAAACCCGTACACTTATCTCAGGTATTAAATTCATCCATCACCCTCGAAGTAGTTCCCCTGGGAGTGAACACAACGATCCCAGCGCCGCTGCCAAGCCTGGAAGCATCCCTGGAAATCTTTCTTTGTCAGCCTGTCAAAGATCTTGCAAGAACCGACCCCAACTTCCTTTCTAAGCTCCGTGTGACTTCTCCCTCTTCCCCAAGATGAAAATTCAGCTAAAGGGAAGGAGATTTGAGACGATAGAAGAGATTCAGGCAGAATCGCAGATGGTGCTTGACAGGCTGACAAAGAAATATTTCCAGGGATGCTTCCAGGCTTGGCAGCGACACTGGGATCATTGTGTTCACTCCCAGGGGAACTACATCGAGGGTGATGGATGAATTTAATACCTGAGATAAGTGTACGGGTTTTTATACGCGCAGTCTGGAAACTTTCCGATCGCACCTCGTATATCTCCATGATGGTAAACGCAAATAGATAGAAGAGTACATTTCCTGATGATGAAGTAAATATAACAAATTTATCAAAAAATCTTACCAATTAATAAAACTGAAATTAAACCAATCATGCACATGCCTGCTGTGTGCCCTCTTTCATTTGGTAATTCCACCATCTTTTACGTTTGTTACCTAAAACACAAAAACATTAAACTTACAGGCATTCCCCCCAGAAAATTATCTGCTGCAATCTTCTGCAGTAGAAGTTAAAATTGGAAAGATTTAATCTTAGAAGTTAAATAATATAGGTGTTAAAGAACAGCAGCGTTGAACAGATCTGGAGCTTTAGAAAACTGACTGGCCACATTGCAGTGGTGTAGGTGAATCGAGAAAACAGCAACAGCCCAACGGGGCCTCCTAGATTTCACTATGTTACGTAATCCATACAATTTATGCAACTCCTCGTTATGCAATATTCTAAATTCCTCAATTATTTCATTCCTCCTAGGTCAAAATAACTTCCTGAGAACCATGTTTTCAAACACTTGTAATCTATGTTCTTCCTTCAAGGTAAGAGATCATGTTTCACAACCATACAAGACAGGTAAAATTATTGTTTTATATATATCTTGATCTTCAGTATTTTGGATAGTGAACAAGATCATCACCCTGATGCCAGAGGCAGTATGACCTGTGAAACGTTGGTAAACATCTACCAGACTACACAGTACAACAACCAAGAAGACAGAAATCTTCATACTAACCGCTGTGAAAACCTCAAATCATACAAGATGATAACAGTTTTTGCATTGAATAAAAATAAGCATTCCCCAAATGTATTCTACTCCTAAATTTGTCATAAATCTCATTTATAATTGTTACTGTTGTTCCCAGATACTTAAATTTTGAAACATTTTCAAATGATGTATGATCCACAAGCTTCTGACTCTTGATTAAGGTATAATCCATATCTGGTATGGTTATATCTACTAATGGATGATACATCTATTACACCAATGCAGGACCAGTCGGCAGTCCACAGCACATGCTCAAGCACCACATTTACACCCCTCACCCACATAAACATGTATGTGATATTTTTTTATTTAGAATGGTCTGATACACAATCCTTTATCACCAATATCAAAAGTTAATATGCTTATCATAATGTACTAGGCAACAACAGAAATATTACAACTTTCTTAATTCCCATTAAAGATGATGATCTAGAAACAATTATAGAAAAGCTATAGTTACATTTTTATATAAAAACCAGAAAACAGGATGAAGTCTTAAGAAGTTCTGAAAAATCCCTTATAAGTGACACAATGTGCAAGGACTTGGCAACAGTAATAAAATGAAAAGAACCAAGTTAGAAGATACATCGCATGTAATCTACACAATATGTTATCATCAGCTTGCTCAAAAATTCAATGATTGTGGTGTTCTGATGGAACTGAATTTGAATCACCTGAGAAATTATCAGAGCTTCCAGATGTTGCACTGCTGTTAAACACTTTGAGATGTTGTTCTCATAGAATCTTTTGAATCATTTTATGAGTTTCAAGCATCTCTTTCTAAAACAGCTGTTAGAGCTGTAGTGCTACATTTAGTCCAAATGCATGATACACTTTGTTGCATTCTTGTGCAGAAACTGCTTTTAATGTCTGTGCAGCATTTTGTAACGTTAATGGTGCTAGAACAGTTTCTCTAATTTCTGAGATTTTGATTTTGGTTAAGAACAAGAGTCAGATTTCATTCACTGAAGCATATGCTCATAGCATATTCACAGACAACTGTATGTCTGTAAATAACTAGAATAAACAGCAATAACCTACCACAAAACATGTCAACATCAATGTTGACAATCTACAAAATGACAAATGAAACTACCTTCACTGCTTTTCTGCTGTACTAAGAACACACGGAGAATGAGTATTAAATAGTAGTAGCGTAATTTTCTGGCACCTGACTCCAGCTTCCCACGTATTAGCTATTGCAAGTAAACTACTGATAATATTCATATTATCTACGTTATTACGTATATGCACAGATAATACAAACTCAATGCTACAAAATTTATATGGAGTATGAGATTCAAATATATGTACCGCAGATTTTCTAGTTCGTATCCAGCGCATTCCTGAACACTTCGTACGCTCAGTATCAACAGTACTGTAAGCTCTTTTATCGTAGAACTCGGTATCCAAATTACAGACCAAAGCTTACGATTTAACCGGCAGTGCTTGAGACGGATGACAACAAAAGAGTTTGATATATAGGAGATACTGAAGATAAGTTGAATTGGAATATATTACGTTGATTTGGTAACATTATATTAGAGTGGTGAAAGTGACAAAGAATATGAAGAGAAGAAATGCCGAATGTGGCAAGCTCCGGAGGCCGTTAAAGCGAAACAAAATTACTGAAGGATTTTACGGAAGGTAAGAGCATTCGCCATATGTTTATCAAAATGGCTGACTTATTACAGGTTAAGCAGAGAAAATGCCTTCTGTTTACATCAAGCATTGAATAAATTCCGTTATCCAAATAAAAATTGTGTAATTTGAGAAGCGTACATAATTTTGGTGACCTATATATCTTGGCTGTAATAGCCGTATGCTAACTGTATGTGTTGCTGAGAAGAGAGCGTTTACTCAACTCCAATAGTTTTATAGTTTCCTAATTTATTTAATGAGTCTGTGTCTTCGGATAATGTTTTTGTAATGTGTGAAGCACACATCTAAAAGTGTGTTATCGGGCCATATTCTGATCACAAGTATCAAAGTAGGCAGCACTTCAGCATTTGGAATTTTCAAATTTAGTGTTGTTCTCAGCTCATTGCCCTAGTAGGGAGAAGGGGCATAGTTAACTTTGGAATTTCCAGTTACAGATCAACATGTTTATAGAATAATCCTTATATAACTCTGAAAATGCCAGTGATATATTAGAATCTTTGCAAAATAATTCCATACTCAACATAACTAGATAGTTTATATATCAATGTAAACATCGTTGCATGTATCAGAATGCCTTTTTAATCATTGTTATAAATGAAACATTAATTGTAGGTCAAAGAGAATTGCACAAAGCATGCACAGACTTCAGACAAAGTGCTTATTGCGTCTAGATTTGCTAGTTTTTGTATTTCATTTTACAAGTCTGTAGACTGTTCCATGTTTACACTCTTCATTGGTTAATTTAATTGCTGTGTGGGATATTGTGATCTCATACATGTGATACAGATGCTGTATGTCTAGTGGATGCTACCTGGAAAGTTAAAAAAATATACGGATGCCCACAAATGTACTCTGAATCAGCCCTTTTTTATTGTGGTGCTATGATTTGTTTTTAAAGTTTATAATTCCAGTTTATTTGTGTCAGGTCTTGATGCAGTATTCTTACATGACAAACAGGCCTACAGCTTCGTTTCCTAGGCAGTTGCCAAATGTTTTATGCCATTCATTTATTACAGTTATGTGCTTAAATTTTTCTTGAAGTCCAGTGGTAACTATATCACTTGCTTTAATAGTCAGTAGTGCTGCATTTTTTCCACAAAACAGTGATTATATCCTTAAACAGCATCAACCAATTAGTCTTTATAATTGAGATGTGTTGTGTCTTCTTTGTGATAAGGACTGACTTTGTAGAGAACATTTTGATGAGCTTTGGCTTCCAGAGGTTAATGGGAGCAACTTTTCTACATACAAATAAAGAAATGGAGCCCCTATTTATCCAAATTGTCTGTTACAGCAAAGAAAATGAATTAGCCCTTTCCAGTCCATTATGTATGTGTAAATGAATTGTATTAGTCTGGTCTAGAGTAATTTAAATAAAATCATTATTACTTGGCATTTCAAAGAACTTGTTATTTAATTTTCTCATGTAATCATTGTCATTGCTGATTTCTATCTCATTTACTTCTGTAACTATATCCTCACTTTCCACCTTTTAGCCCTTGTGTGTTAGAACATAACAGAGATTTGCAGTTAGCAACATGAACTAACATGGCCATTGCTAGGATAACAGCATGCAGTTGTTTCATTTCAAGGTAATTTCCAATTGACAAATGCAAGTTCTTCAGTAGCAAACTTCAAATAATTTTTATGGACACTGATAAATTTATTTTGTTTTATTTTGTTTGTAGTTTATTTAATGACAATTTCAGTATCTGGACTGTATAGTGTTAAATGAGAGAATGACAATAATGAATTGGAAAGGTCGTGGAAGGAAATGGTCTTGATTTAATTTAAGGTACCGTCCTGTCATTTGCCTGGAGGGAATGAGGAAAACCACAAAAAAAAACCTCAGTTAGGATAGCCATTCTTCAGGCCAAGGTTTGAACCTGGGACATCTCAAATAAGATGCAGGAGAGCTAAGCACTCAAATGTGACATTTGGTTGCACTGATGGATGGTAGGAGTCTTCTGAAAAGAGCAGAAGATCATAGCAAAGATGCTTATTGAGTTATACTTTACATTGGATCTAGTTGAATAAAATGTGTTGTTCAGTTTATCTTGACATTGGACTAGAAAAGGTTAAAGTATAATTGTATATAAGTGTAATTGTACATATTTACAAAATAGTACCTCATTACTTATGTTTACTTTGCTTGCACAATGTCCTCTCATATTCACCAGCAGACATTTGTAGATTTACTAGCATAGTGAAAAATATTGTATAATTTTACAGCATGATGCCACTTATGCATTTTGTGGTGTTCTGCTGTATTTCCAGTAGTGGCACATGGTCACCGTATTGTGAAGTTGTTCCACAATAACTTCTTTTTATATTTGAGAGGTCTTACTTCATGTTTTTGAAAGAGCCCTCCATATTCATCCAAATAGTGCCATGTATATTTCCTCATGAAAAATTTGCTTTTTGCTGCCAGCTGCTAGTGCATCAGAAAGACTGTTGCAGAATCAGAGAATAAGTTTGTCTCAATGTAGGATGATACATATTCTACTGATGCTGGATCATGCTAGTTTTGGATTATTACATGTAACTTGGAATACATGGTTTCCATCATAATATTTCTAAAAATAAGAACTTATACAAACTGGCAGAACTCTGCATGTGATGACTGTATCATATACTACATATGATACTAGATTGTGGAAAATTAATCATGGGAAACTGAATCATGCATTTGTGTACTCATTATTTCAACCCAGCTCTGCCCAGGGCAGGAAAGTGACAGGCTTGAACAATAAAAAACTCAATTACCCCATGTTATGTGTGAATAGAGACATAATATGAAACACCAGGTCTCATACCCATGTGGGAAATGAGGTAGAATTCAAATTTTATAAATCTTTAATCTTTAATTTTTAGATAGAAGATGTGAAGACAAAAAATTCTGCAGCTGCATGGTTGCAAACATTCCCCAAATTTAATATGGAACATGTGTTACAGAATATGATGTATACTATATACAATTTATAGACCTGTAGTTGGACCGTCCTGGTTGAAAACGAGCTTGAACTTGAATTTTGAGCATAGTTAATATATGTTACTTATGTCTGCCATTTTATTTCTGAGTATGCTAAAGTAATTAAAATGCTTTGGGGTTAATTATCTTAGGTGTGTGCCAAAATTAGTTGCACTTTTGAAGGATTGCAATTGATAACATACAGAAATGAAGTGCCCTGCTGACATGATCGTACTTCATAAAATCTAGTGGTTTGGTACAGTGGTAATAAATTTATAAGGTACCTAGTTTGAATCCTAAGTTTGGATGTTCCTTCAAATTGACCATAGTTATTTACATACTTTCCATGTCATCAGTTCTGACAGAAATATATCCATTATTCCAATCTAAAATCCTGTTGAATATTTTCTTTAGTGCTTGCCTAAAATAAGGTGAGTGCTGAACAAAAATGTGTATGTAATGGCATTATGTACACAGTACCTAGTGGTCAAGTAAATAATACTATTAGTCATTAGTACATATATTCTGTATGAAATCCTGTCATTGAAATAAATGTTGATAACCAAACCATTCTTTTGTAATAACCAAGTCTATGGTGAAGGGCCTTTGTTGAGAATACAATAGGCACAGATGGTTAAGTAGAAATGCCCTTGGTTTTACAGACATTAGTACAATCAATCATTTAATTGTGGGCTGGAATAAAGGGTTTTCTCACTATTGTGTTCGTGAAGCCCTCCTTTGTACCTGATCTTAGGTACATTGAATTTAGTCTACACCTCAAACCATATTTCTGTAGGATTAATTATTGTACTATACTACTGTATATGTCTGTGTTTCCAAAGATGGTCTCTTCCCTTGACATTTTTCGACCAAATTTTCCTTAATGTAATCAGCCTAACAGTATTAGGTGAAGAGTACAGATTGTGAAGCTCTTGTCCATCCTCTTGTTCTTTTCACTTCCTTAGGATCAAATTCTTCTCAGCACTCTGTTCTCAGATACCCTTGTTTCTTCTTTTACAATGAAACAGCCATTTAATGGAGAAATTGGCAAATTGTCACATATGTACAAACATCATATGACGTGGCTGGTGATGGTAACAGTTTTGACTCTTGATATGTTGTGAAGTTTTAAGAAAAATGATGTCTAACTTCACATCATGATGTAAATTACAGTCACAGAAGCCCTCTGTAGAGTGACAATGTATAAATGAAAACATATTGATGTTTATGTTTGTCTTTTGGATTGTAAGGTCATGTAGACTTACAGGTAGATACCTGTATTTCAGGGGAACATACTGCCTCTACTTTAAGTATGTTCCTCCAAAATGTTGGTATATCCTTACAAGTATACATAGCTTTACAACCCAGGAGGCCAAGATCAGCATCTTCACCTGCCCGAGAACTAATACATCTCTCATGATCATTATAAAACTTGGTTCCTTTTATTTTTTTTCTCATAAGTGTCGGAAAGTTTGGTCCTGTACTTATGGAAGGCCTGGGAAATGTGGGTATAGGGGAACAAATCAAATTAAGTGTCAAGGGATAATGGTTTCTTTCATTTTATATTTCAGTCACCAAGGACAAATTTCAAACGAACTAACTGTGCTATTGTTGATTTTGCTTTTGAGAGTGGACAGTTTGTCATTTCTGCGTATATGTAACAGATACAAAAATGGAATGCAAAACTCAAATTCTCTTCGTATATCATTTGAAGTCATTTTGGTGATGATCATGATTGCTCATCACTACTTCATCTCAAACTCTCAATAAATTCCAGTGGTTCATCTCACTGCTTGTAAAAATGAATACAGTTAATGAAATATATTCATAGTAGAAGAATGTGATATTATTATTATTAAGTGTTCTGTCTTACGACAGGTCCATTGCTCTGCCCAAAAAGAGCTCTCCAGTTGTCCCTATTCTCGGCTTCTCGCTTTAATTCCTGGAACGTCATCTTCTTTCCTTGTTTAAGGTCGTCGGTTAGCTGTATCAATCTTCTTCCCAGTCCTC